TTTTTTTTTGCATTTTTTTATTTGTACAAAATCCACTAGAAAACATCACAGATCACAAATAAAACATGCAGAGGAACTCTGCTGACTACCTTAGTGAAATGACAATATCTCCAACATACATTTTTTAAAATTCTTCCAAATTATTAACCTTGGGGTCAAAACTGCATAAGTCAGGGTTCATGTCTCCAGCAGCTTTCATTGTCAAAATTATTTTCATAGGAATCAGTTTCTGGGTAAAAAAGCACAGAGCAACCTGCCAAAGAGCTTTCCTTAATGGCCAGAATTTCAAGGATGAGGACATCTTCTTAAAATGGCTGTTTCTCCTGTTAAATTGCATCCCATCTCCTTTCCTTGTGAGGACAATGAGGGAAAATTACAACCCTTGGAACACACTGGACACATTTTCAAAGCCTTTCTGGAGAGTTTCCAAGTATTTTTTAATTTTTTCTCCCAAAGATGTTGTAAGTGCAAACCCTTATGGTATGATAAGTCAGCTCTGGAGCAGCTTTCTGTGCTTAGGGGAAAGGAAAAGAATGAAGGCGACAGGAGCTTCCTAAGACAAGGTCATGAAGGGGGTGTCCTGGGAACCCCTCCCCCCAGAGTGTCAAGGCACGTTCTCTGACACTAAAGAGAACTTCTGAAGGATAGGGCCTTGTTTAATTTCTCTTGGTGTTCCCAGTACCTAGCAGAGTCTCTGACCCCTAGCAAGCATTCAGTAAATATTTGGGGAATGAATGAGTGGCTGGAGCTGGGATTTAGTTATTATACCTTGGATGCAAAGTGAGCATTTGGCCTCAATAACAAAGAAAAATATCTTGAACTGGGACACTAGATTGGAGCAAGGCAAAGAAGAGGCATTCAATGCGAAGTCATTTGAAATGCTTTTAGCTGGAAACCTGTGTAGTCTCAGAGTCAGGAGCAAAGATGAGTCACCAGGCAAAGGTCAAAAGGATTTAGCTAATTAGGCGGCATTCTGAGTAGCAAGCCAAGGAAGTTACCACTTTTAAGTTATTGTTCAACCTAATTGGAAAAGGTCAATAATACTAAAAGATCTGATTTCTTTCTTAATAGCTTATCTGTGTTATTCCAAAAAGCAGAAGCAGCCTTGAGCAAAGCTGTGAAGTAGACCTCATCTCCCTTTTGTCGTCTCCTGTAGTCAGCAGACACACTTCCATGAGCCTGGTGGCTTGATATTTTTACCACTCACCTGCCCCTCACTTCCCAGGGCCTTCCTGGAACACCTCTTGCTTCGGGCTTTTCCATCTTAAATGTAACCGTTTTGTGTCTCAGTCACCCATGCTCTGTATTTGGCTTGTGAGAGCTGCCTAATTTGTTAATCTGCTCATGTGTTCAGAGAGGTCATTGATGGCAAATTCAGGTAAAATGTCTTGTTTATTGGGGCCTCCTGGAGACAAGGCCTCTACCCAATGGAATATCTCTAATCATGAAAAATTTTCAAGTGAAGTAAGGCCACCGGGGAGAAGATCATGGGGCAGGCTGAACTTTCGCTGCCCTTTAAATCACACCAGGAGGGGCAGCCTCTGTTTCTGTCTGATCGGAAAACCTGGCTATCAAGCTCTTTTAAAAACAGCAACTGTCCTCGTTGAATCAACATTGCAAGACCTCTCATTGCAAAACCTCAGCCCCAGACCCGTCAGAAAGATAACGGTTGCGTTGGCTGATATTTTTTCAAAAGGATGCCTGAGTCATTTCCCTTTAGGCCCTCTGACTCTTTCATTTCTGGTTATCTCAAATACTTCTTATAAATTAATAGGTGAAAACATACATCAGTGACCAAGTCACACCTCGTTGCCAAAGGAGGGACACATGTCACAATCCCATGAACAGTCTGAAGGTGGTTCTGTCTACAAAGCTCTACAAAGTACTAGGCTTCCAAGTGAATAAAAGGTAAGTGTTGGTGACTATTACATAGGCCCACAAGTTTTACCCATTTTTCCTTTCCTGTTGCCACTATTGCTACTTTATATCTTTTTCAAAAACAATATAGAGTATAAGTGAATTCACAAAAATAGGTATCCACAGATGTACATATGCACATCCATCCCTACATATGTAAACTCACTATTCTTAGAAATATTCTCAAAGGAAGCTGCCTTTTAAAAGTCTTCCCTTCAAAATAACAAAGTAGGTTAAAGTCTTTGTTGCAAATTATATTAATAATACTTTCACATATTCAGCAGGTAGGTCTATAGAAAACTCAACCAAATAGATTTTTCCCTCTTGAACTGAATCACAATAATAACAACAAAAAGACACTAGCCCTGATAAGGGATAAACTTAAACCAAACTCGGGCACTTCACAGAGAAGATANCCACTTGTATACATTTTTTTGGCACCCCCGGTATTTTCCAAACCATAAATCAAAACCTAGCATGTCACAGAGGATTAGTGTATGACTCCTGTGACTGTCCTTAGGCTGTCTCAAAGGTAGCAGTTTGAATGCCAACATATTGGCCTTTTGGGGCTATGACAGAATATTGGACTCACTTGAAAAATTCAGGCACTTACGATATTCATTCATTTGGCAGGAGGGCAAAAGGTAGCAAATAGGGAAATCTTTTTACAATGGAAACCCATAGTTACCATCTATAAGGGTTACTCCCTTGTCCTTATTTTGATCTGAATAGTAAAGAGAAAACTAGTACAGGACCCTGAGTGTCCATAATCACTCCCCGAGCACCAGCGGTCATGGGTAGGACTACCAAAGACAGTGACGACTCCCTAACTCTATCCGTCTTCTGTCCCTCAAAAGAGGCAACCATCTATGGACTGGCTATAGTCTCCTTTTCATCCCAGGTCATTTACAAGGACAGAATATCCCCCTGCGAACTTGTGATCTATTCAGTGTTCTCCAGGGTTAGGAATGAGAATGGTAGGGAATGATATCTGATGCAACAGAGCTTTGCCTTGAGAGTCAGTTTAGTATCATAGTAGGTGGTCTTGGAGTCAGGCTGTCTAGCTAGGTTCAAACCTTAACTTCCCCACCCATAATTTGGGCAGGCTCTCTTTGAGCCTCAGTTTTAGCAACAGTAAAGTAGAAATAATAATCAGCACGTCATCCCCTGGAATAGCTGTGGTGATGTAAGCAAAGAATCTGGTTCAAGCTAACAATTCAATGAATGTTAACTGTTATTTCTAGACAATGAAAACAATGTGGTAGCTATCAGCACCTCGGCATCAAACTGAAGCAATTAACAATCTTCTAGCTATCTCCTAGGGACTTGGAAAAGAATAAAAATATAGAGCATTCTTCCTAACATTAAATCACTTTAATATCTTAGAATAGAAAAATATAGAAATAGAAAATTTAAAAATAAGTCCATGGGCTGGTTTTCAATCAGACAGAAAACCAGAGAGAGAATGCTTTGGCCATTCGTCCTCTGATCTGGGCCTGTGGGTCCATTTACACACAAGCAGCCACATCCCATGTGGAGTCTACTAAACGCTCGGTCCCTAAAATGTGGAGATTTAGATTGCTCATTGGTTTTGTGACTAACAAGGCAAGTACATTAAAATACAGCATATCCAGGGCACTATTTCACCTGTTGGATTTGTAATACTAATTTTCCATTGAATTTCAAAATTTAAGATGTACACTTGAGTTGTAAAATTGTGGTCATTAGACTTGAATCCTGTTTTCTCATTTGTTTGCTTGCTTGCTCTTTTACCATGTGGACATCGGTTGGGTTTTTTGTTTTGTTTTGTTTTGTTTTCTTTAAATATAAAATAGGAAGCCTGAAAAAGATATACTCTAAAACCATCACTTTTTTAACCTTTCATTATTCTATGACTTCCTCAAATATCAAACTCCATATTACATTTTTAGCAATTAATGAAAATGTGTTTTGAGAAGAGGGAGTTGAGAAGAGACATGTCTTTAATACCAAAATTTATTTACTCCAACTTCAGGCAGTCTTTTCAGAATTACGTGAGCCACAAAATAAGAAACAGCCTCTACCCTCTGTGTCATCGCAAATAAGGTAGAAGCATGTTTTTCAAAAGCCAATGAGGGCAGCAGGGAGATTCCAGAAGTCACAAGACAGGGAGCAGAATCCTAGAAGCAGATGGTGTGGTACAGCGGAGGACAAGGAAAGAGAGAGGTGAGGTTGTTTTCAAATATTTAAAGTGCCCCTGTTCAAAGTGTAGGTATTTTCTAATCTTCACACACTGCATCCTGTCAGAAACTGTGGTAGCTTTTCATCTTCCCTGGTTCAGCTTTTTCTCACCTTCTTTCACACATCCGGTGCTTTTCACGCATATCGCAGTCAGACTGCCATGTGTGTCATCCATCACTACCCAGGGTGGTGTAGGAAAAGCAATCGGATTGGTGATTACCAATTACAGTTCTATAGAAGCTGCTTCTCCTCAGAGTCACCAGGCAGCCTGACCCTGGTGCCTCTTTCAGCAATAGGTTTCATTATCCCTAAGGTTGTAGCCTTAAAAATAATGATAATAAGCTCTGATACATTGCAGTCAACCATTTAACAGATCCCTTTTATTGAAAAATGAAAGGAAACATATTCATTTGAGAAAGCACTGTACTGATGTGAATATTTAGAGATTCTTAGCTACCTTATATATGGGATAACTGTCTTGAAACTGAAAACAAAAATTAGTTCAATCTATCAGCAAAGACTTATGAGTAGTCTACCATTCATGCTATTTCTTCAGCCACAATGGAGGGTATGATAGTTACTGTTCCTCCAAGAGTTTATGATTTAGTTGCAGAAGAAAGTAACATTGAAATAATATTTTTTTATTATCAGTTGTTAATAATGCAACAATGTAAAACTATACAATGCAACAAAATGTTTACTTGTCAATGGGTGGTAAGAGTTCAGAAGCAAAGCCACTGAGCACATGGCTGGCAGGGAAGGCTTCCCCTGAGAGCAGGGGTGGGGGTGGATGGTGGGGGTGGGGGTGTTGCCCTGGGCCTGGCCTGAGAAGGCATGCATGGTAGGCTTTCTTCTGGCGGGAAGGAGGCCAGACACCCAAGAGAAGCAAGATAGGGAGAATACCAGGGAAATCTCAGAGATGGCTACTTGCAAGGCACAGTCATAAACTGTAGGCTGGCTGAAGGTGAGGTTTCATGTAGGGGAGATGGTGATGGAAAGAGAGTGAGTTTAAGACAATTTGAAGAAACTGGAGTGCATTGAATTACTCTAATTATATTCTCTCAGCCAATAAAAAACTTGTTAAGCTCCTACTGTATACAAAGTCACTGTTGGGGGTGGGGAAAGGCAGTAAAACAAAACGGAAAGATCTCATTTGAGCTCAGGAGCGAGACATAAAAACAGGAAATGTTAACAATGCAAACTATACCAAACAAAACCAGAAAAAAAAA